CGTCAGCTACAGGGATTTGTAAACAAGCTTCCGATAAATCCAACTTTGCAAAAACCTTACCTCCACTCAGTTTAGCAAAAAGATCTTCAGGTAAGGGTAATGGATACTGATGAGTTTCTAAGGCTTCATTCAACCCAGTTGAGTAATCGGCACATAACCGGACTTTACCATTAGTCTTCTTTACTATTACTATCAGTGCGGCCCATTCTGAGGAATTCACCGATTCAATGACACCCAGTTTCCGAAGTCATTCTAGCCCATGTTTAATCATTGAGAGGGCAGCACATGGTACGGTTCTTTTAGGGCGAAATACTGGTTTTGATCCCTGTCGAGCAGCTTTAAATTTAGTGCATTTTCCAAGACCATCATTAAACACCATTTTACTTCGTTTTAATAATGTTTCCACTGAGTTTTTCTCATCAACTTTCGACTTACTGACGTTGTTGCAGATTGAGTTTATGGGGCGGTCTGTTGACTTCAGCTTTTCTATCCAATCAAGTCGAGTGATGGACGGTCTGTCAGAAATATTACACAATTCTACGTAAACTCTTTGACTGTGACTTCACAATGAATTACAGCAGCAATGTTTAGAATTCCTCCGGATGCACTCTGTGCTGATTGATTAGTTGAATACAATCTCGGTCTCCCAATTTATCCCACGTTCTCCTGCTTATAAGCGTTATATCGGAGGCTGTATCTAACTGTAAGCGGCAATCATACCCATTAATCTTGAGAGAAACATACTTTCTACGGATATGGGAGCCAGTTTTGTTAAGAGCTACCGTTAATTAAGCTGTTTGTGGCTTGGATCCTTTAGGAAACACTTTAATTCGACGGCATTTTCGGGTTTTCCATTCTAGAATACGCCTGGAACTGACGAATTAAAACACTTGAAGCGTCTCGGCGCCGTGCGTTTTGCAACAATTTGCTAAAATTTTCCCACGAGCTCGAGTGGTCCCAGGTATTTATAGTTTATTTAACAATAATCTTTGACTTGAAATGGACAGTCTCTTCAACGGAGACCACCATAACTCCACAACAATTTCTCGATAATCCATGAAAAATTTAATCCAGATCACATGCACTAAAAGGAATAATACAAAAGTATTTAGAAGAATTTTCAGGCCATTTCAAACAACAACAACTCGAACGAAACCTCAAGCACAGCAAAACAAAACGCAGAACGAAACGCGACATCCAAATCGCTACAAAGTGATGCAGTAGATGACTAAGGTCGCGCCATTGCAGCATGTTTCTGATTGGTTGCCAAGATAAATGGCGGGAACATGTAGTGCACTCCATGTAGCACCAATCGGTTTACGACAGTTTGACCTTCAAGAACTCAGTAGCCTCCATCAATGGGCAATGCCATTGCATCGTTACCGTAGCGGGCTAAACTGTGTGCTTCTCGTTTCTCTTCCTAGACTGTCGTAATCTGATTGTTGTTTTTTGCTTTCTTTAATGAATATCAGTGCATCATGTGCGGTAGCTGGGTCGTCATCTCACCTTTACTTATGTTACTCTCATTTCCAGTCCACACTCACGCTGTTCTGCATACTTTCCTGGTACACAAAGTACTTTCTGGCTAGACGCAAATCGCTACACTTCCACTAGCATAGGTTATCTATGTGTTCATACGTGACAGTAATGTGTCCTAATCTCCCTACTTTGAGGTTTTCCCCAAAGCCGTAAGAAATTTTCCTCAAAGTTTGGGGAAAAACCACAACGTGTTATAAAATTCTGGGGAAAACGCAAAATAACCCCAAACATTTTGGGGTTTTTCGCCATTTCCCCAAAGTTTTCTATAGCGGCTTCCCTAAAATTCTCCCTAAACGGACAGGATTTTCCTCAAAATGGGGTGATAAGGTTTAGGTGCTCTTGGAAATGTGATACATAACCCATTTTCAGATCTGTGTATTAAGGACAGAAGGCTTACGGCTTGTGTTATTTCTTTTCTACTATGTTTCTGTTAGTGTCTAGTCTTCTCTTGTATGAGTCAAATGAAGGGGAGGATATCACTACTTCGGGTAGCAGGTTCAAGAATTGATTACTCGGTGTGAGAACCTGTATACCACGGGTATCTTGTTCGTTCTTGGCCTTTGTATTACACGGGTAGCTGCCCTCTACTTTTTCCAAGATATCAGAGTCACAGTGGCCTGCAGCCTGAACACAGTTTTCATGTCTGGATCTCACTGTTATGTGTACTGTAGTGAACATATTGGTATCTAACTTAATAAACGTTTGTCTTAAAGCCCGTAGGGTTTTAAGAAGCTTAACTGCGACCACGCGGCAGTGGGCCGTGGTCTTAAGATCATGACTCACTGTCACCTCAGGATCCTTATGAGACCAGACTACAGGCACTGACTCCTCTAATGTTATGTCTGTTTACCTTTATTTCCCCCCCCCCAATGCCCCTGTAGAAACACTTGGTCACGTTGATAGTCATCAGCTACTTTTTTAGGACTAGCTAATTAAAACATATAAGTCCCCATGAAGTACACATTCATCTACATCTGTTATTTCTAGCCAAAAAAGAAACTAAAGGCTAGATTCGAGCACGACCTCAGCCACACTAAGTCCTTAATAAGCAAGCTACCCCCATAAATAGTATCAGGAGTTAGCATCTGTAAGCTTTATAGCATAGGACAAAAAGTGGATTCTGAAAGTACTCAGAAAAACCGCCTCCTAATGGTTACCTTTGCTTCGGCTGAAGAAAACACCTAATACTGGGAAACTCACGCAGACTGATTGGATCCGAAATATACGTCCGTAATGATATCGGCCTGGTTGATCGTATTAAGGGACGATCGGCAGAAGTAGGACTAAATGAGCACCGTCGAAACGGTGGAAAAACGTTGTACTTAAGGGTTTTCAAGTTGTAAAAGTTCGGAGTAAAACCATCCTCAAAGCACTCTGGATGGTAAGGTAAAGTTCTTTACGGAATTAAGGGTGTGCCACACAAATGCTATCAGCCCACAAAATAAAATGGTAGAGCTCAAGACAATAGTGGATATAGAAAACCCGGATTTCATAGCTGTCTCAGAAACATGGTTAACGTCAGAAGTGTGTGATAGCGGGATTCAGTTGATTGGTTTTTTATCTAATAGAGCTGATAGGCTAAACCGTAGGGGGGTGGGGTTGAGACAGTGGCATATGATTCACGGACATGTGGAGTGGTGCGCTACATGCTGAAATGTAAACTACAAGATATAGAATTTGTTGTAGTATACCGCAGTCCAGAACGTGTAGTAGATGACTTCCTCCCAAGCAAACTCAAGTCTTCGTTTATTAGGTGTAAAAGCCATATAATAGACAACCTTAATGTATCTTATATAAACTGGGGAAACTTACAAGTAAGATGATCAATAACATCATTTGATTACAAATAGTTAGAAACCGTAATTGTCCTAGCTTTATTCCAGCAAATTAGAGGTCCCACCAGATATGATTTACGAAACTCCTCTTCTCTCCTGGATCTAATCTTCACACACGATGATAATGTCAGTCAAATAACTTTCCTCCCCCTTCTTGGGAGAAGTGGTCACGCAGTCATCTTTTTCAAGTTTATGGCTGAGATGTCCTATCAAACAGTTGCGCCGGCCCGTCCTAACATATGGAGGGCAGTCATGAAGGCAATCAACTATGCAGCATCGGCTGAAAACTGGATTCAGGGACATCAGTAGAAGAGGCATGAACTCATTTCAGGCAGTTATACAATCAGGTAACTCAACCATATATACCCTGGATAGGCCGGAATATTCAACGTTTACTAAGACAAAAGAAGCAATGTTGGAAAGTTACCAACACCTTTGGTACAACAAGTACGATAGAACGCTACAGGTCGGTGAGAAATAAGTGTATAGTTACAATCCTGGAAGCTCAGAGAAAATATGAAATGCAGTTAGCCCAATCTGTAACCAAGCAGTCTAAGAGACTATTCTCGTACATAAATTACAGAACAAGGACACAGCATTGAATTCCAAAACTAATTACGGTAAAGAGTGGATCTGAAATGATAGAGGATGATCACAGTAAATCAGTGTGGCGCATATATATTGGCGCTCTCTTGTACCAATATTTATGTGTTCAAATAATAATAATAATAATAACAGTAAATCAGAGGTCATGGCAAACTATTTCAGGGAAGTTTTTAACTCAAGAGCCCCTTCTAGGCAAAGAACTATACCCTAATACAAAGTCGAAAAACCGTCTATTCACTGTGGACTTTGATCAAGACAATGTACTTAAGGCTCTTAGCACTTGGACACCACAAAATCTTGAGACAAACTGCACAATATGTTGCAGCCCCACTGACTGTGATATTCAATATATCACTTGGTCAAGGTGTGTTACCGATGGACTGGAAGGATGCAATCGTCACTCTAATACATAAAACAGGACCAAGACAACTTTCATCAAACTACAGACTGTCTCTCTTGCAAGTGTCTTAGTGAAATACTGGGAGAAATAATCATAACATACATGGAAACCAACAGTTTGTTAAACAGTAAGCATGGATTCAGGACTGGATTACTTTGCACCTTCTTACAATATAAGAGGAATGGACAGAGGCTCCAAACAATCGGAAATCGGTGAATGTCTTCTACATAGACTTCAGTAGGGCATTTGATAAAGTAGATGAGTAATAGACTATTGTCAAAGCTGGAAAATCTAAAGTTAATTAAGGATTTCGTGGAAGGTCGTAGGCAGAAAGTAAGAATAGATTCCAAATGCTCTTCCTGGAAACCAGTACTTGGTGGAGTACAGTAAGGCTATCCTAGGTCCTTCACTTTTTATACTGTATGTAAATGAACTCCCAAGTATAGTTGAGTCCCAGATGCTACTATATGCTAATGTGAAAATCTCAGATTCAGATTTCTGTAGTAAGAACAGAAGGCTTACGGCCTGTGTTATTCCTTTTCTCACACTGAGCCATCAATTCTTGGGACCTGTTACCCGAGGCACTGGTGTCCTCCCCTTCAACTGGCTCATTTAAAAGAAGACTGGACACTCACAGAAGCATAGTAGTGTTGATCAAAGCCCACCATAGGCAGACGGTTTGTTTACTTTGTATTTGGGTCTAGAAGAAGCTCCTAAGTTAAAACTCTCGAAATAGTGCGAAAATTCTTGAAAGTTGGTTGTTTTCTTAATGGAATTCTAATGAACAGGATAAAACTCCACTGTGAGGTATCCATGTGAAGTTTACAGGTTTAAAAACTACTAACAGAGTAGTTGCTTAAACGATGAAAGGTTAAAAATATTTCGTAATATCCTCCAACGTTTTAATCCTGTTTTCAGGTAGCCACAAGCATATAATTTATTTTTCTGATATATCCAGCTTAAAAACTCTAACCTTCACACATTTCAGGCTTTTTTCAAACTTCTCATGGATATTCGAGTGAAGTATGACCAACAATTCTTGTCGTAAATCACTTATTAGCGTAAATAACGAACTTGTGAGAAAAATTCTTGAAGATAAGGTAGTTGCTTTTCGTTTCCCATTTAACTTGTTTGTTCAGTTTACTTTGGCAACCACTTCATTCTCCAATGTTTATCTTGGAGTTTGGGAGGGAAAGAACGTTGTAGTTAAATTATTTCATGAGAAGCACAAGCCTCTAGCCCAAAAAGAATTATCACTTATTGCGCAACTTGAACATGAAAATATCATACATTTGATTGGTGCCGGACCTTCACTTCCATTGGATTGTTCTTTCTTGATCCTCGAGTATGCCAATTGTCATTCATTACAAAACGGTAAATTTCAGTGTTGGTATCACTCGACTTTTTCACCTTTTCATCATTATATTAGAAATAATCAAGGAACAAAACAGATTAGTTCCCTCTTAACCCTCAATTTTTAATGTTACTGTTTTCTCTAATCTGAGCAATTTAGATGCTAATCTTTCATTATCATTCCGGACATAATCCGTGTCTACTTTGAGAGGGAGTAAGCTGTAGTAGTATCACTATACCAACTAGACCAGTTGCAATTCTTTGGGAGCATTTGTTACCTTAGTCATCATTTCAACCTGATTTACTTGCAGACATCTAGAACAGAAAAGATAAAGAATTAAGAGACTGGTGGAATTCAGAACAAGCAATTAATAGGTCAAATATGTTTAGACAAGAATGGGGTAAATAGTCCAGCTTCTCCTGTAGAGTGAGATCATACATGTGTCATCTAGAATTTTATACACCGAGACGAAATTTTCTAAGGACTGAAAGTAACAATCATACGCTTCTCCGTTTCCCTCATATTCAGTCATCGCCTTTACGGATTAATGGATTATATTTACTCAACTACCTAGAAATTTCTTAGATTTCACGTGGGCTTCTACTGATATCACATTTCGCGGTCTGTGGTTCTGCATGCTATTATTTTAGTTTGTGTGAGCTTATGACCAAGAGCTGATCTATTTTTATTTCCTGAAACTTTATTCCACCAAGGTATCACTTTCACAGAGGTTCTACTAAATACAAACTCAAATGCCCTGGTACGGCCGAGGATGATAAGAGTTAGCTCTCCCTCTTCAAATGCTCTCACATGGTCACGCGTATACAGCCATTGTCAGGGAAGTCTTACTTACTGCCTTTCGCGACGGGGGTATTGTTTACGAAACTGGGGGGGGGCGAAAAGTAAATTTCCGGCCCTTTAGCCGAATTGGTGGACACGGAAGGTCCACCTAGAGGAGTTGGAAAGCCCTGATTCCAAAACAATGGTACACATGGGCTCCGGGATCCCGAGAGGACAAATGATGTATGAACCTATTGTTGGTCACCGGCTACCATGTGACTGTATCTCCTGACGCTGCTCCACCGCCTTGTGGGTCAGACCTTTAGGTCGAAGGCTCAGGATTTAGCCCCCTAAGAAAACCACCTACTTCGGTTTGGGTACTCGGGCAGCATCCCAGCCCTCACACAAATCGAATGATGAAGTTTGGCGCATACATATTTGGTGCCTCCTTGTACCAATGCTTGTGTTTGAATAAATAAACTGAATACAAATAAAAGGTGCCTCAAGTCGATCAAATAACTAATCAGCATTTGGTGTAAAAAGTTTTGAAACTATACAGATCATTTTTAACAATACCAGTTGCTAATGATAGTTCAAGGCCCATAGTCGTGCTTTATTTCTTTTTGATAACTGAGTCCTCGTATTTATTTTTCATCCTTATTTAGATCATCTACGCATACAACATTAATAAAGGACGTTTCTGATCCTTAGTTGAATTCTGTTAAAGTTTCTTAGACCCATCATCGTATGAGTATTCAGTTCATAATTACGTAGTTTTGCCAGGTATCTGAGTGCACACACAAGTTAAATAATCCTCATAGGTTGATAAAGATACCCTTTTTATCCCACTTATCCAGATTTTTCTCTTAAGTCAAATCTATGCCTAATATCTTTTATTACCACTTATACTGTTACTACATCTACTACTTTGGAGTTTACCTTGGAAATTTCATTTTGCTATACATCTTGTGTGCAGCGAATTGAATTGACCCACTCTGCATGTAGATCTCCTAGAGTTACTACCAGTCCCAAGCCCGGGTAAAGGAGGAGGGTCGGGCATGGGGTCAGCAACCCCATCCCATAGAAAAAATTCTTGCTAGAAAATGCCAACTAGATTAAACAAATTAAACCACTTAACCTCTGCCTTGGAAGTTGAAGGAAGAACTACGACGCCTTATGATGAAAGCCAAAATTATTCGGAAGTCACGAGGCCGGTGCCCCTTCTAACAACCAGAGCAACAATTTTTATAGGTATATAGAACGTATATAGATCATCACCTGGTTGTGGCCAAGATTAAACTGAAGCTGAAGAAACACTGGAAAACTGGGGAAACAGTATTACAAATGTTCAACACAACCTTCCTTCGGGATAATAACAAACTCAACGAATTCAATATAGCTCTCAACAACAGGTTGCAAGCCTTACAAGATCTACTGAAAGAAGGAGAAACCACTATGGAGGACAACTGGAAAGGGATCCAAGAAGTACTAACTTCAACATTTCAGGAGGTTCTGGACCTCAAGAAGCATCATAAGGAATAGATCTCTACCGAAACCATGAGCAAGAATAAAGAAAGAACAAGAAAACAACAATTAACAACAGCCGAACATGAGCAGAGAAATTCTAGACACGAGCTGAATACACTGAGGCAAACAAGCAAATGCAGAAGAGCATTAGAGCCGACAAGCGGAAATACGTGAAAGAGTGGGAAAAGCTGCAAGAGAAGGAAATATGAGACAGCTATGTGACAACGAAGAAACTAGCAGGGAAATATAGTAAACAAGAGAGGCCAGTGAAGGACAAAGAAGGCAAGACAATCACTGAGATTCAAGAGCAAAGAAAAAGATGGGTAGAATGCTTCAAAGAACTGTTGAATAGACCAGCTTCATTGAATCCACTGGACATCGAAACAGCACACACATGGAACTCAAAACAACTGTTAACTGATATCAAAGTCAGAATCTTCAATGCGTATATCAAGACAATCCTACTGTATGAATTTGAAACGTGGAGAACTACAACCATCATCAAAAAGATACAGGTATTTATAAACAATTGTCTATGCAAGATACTCAATGTCCGTTGGTCGGAAACCCTCAGCAACAGCCTACTATGGGAAAGGACAAATCAGCTTCCAGTTGAGGGTGAATTCAGGAAAAGACGTTGAAAGTGGATAGGACATACATTACGAAAATCAATAAACTGAAGGGAAACGGAAAAGAGGAAGGCCGAAGAACACACCATGTCGGAAATCGGAAGCAGACGTGAAAAGGATGAATAACGACTGGAAAGGATTGCCCAGGACAGAGTTGGATGTAGAGTGCTGGTGGGTGGCCTATGCTTCTCCAGAAGGGGTAACAGGCGTAAGTAAGTTAGCTAGTAACACACATGCACCAGGTCTTACGTTAAGTATAAGTGACTGATTGACTAGCTTCCTGGTCTATTAACATAACTCGAATTCCCCAAACATCATAGTGTCTTCACTCCTGAACTTTGATATGAGGTTCATCAATAAAGCCTTAGTAATTAATATACCAAAACAGGAATATTTCTGTTTTAAACCTAAGACTTTATGTTCAGATGTAACTTTTTTGAGATTAATTCCGAACTTACAGTACAATTTTTGGATAAATATTTGTAAATTAGGAGACACTCTTAATAAGACTGTAATAAAACTTCAACTAAGAACTTCGAAACTCCTTCAAACAGCATTTTTTCCGTAACCTAATTATTCATCAGGATCCATATGCGACAAAAAATCAAAACTCCATTGTTTGAGACAACCAGAGTTTCACGATATTAATGGGATTCCTGAAAATAGATCCTGGGTTAGTAGTTCCTTAACTGACCTGGTGGCATGACGGCTACCTGAGGCTTATTTGTGATTGGCTTTCGATATATTAACTCCATATTTTTAACTCTTACGGCCGGAACAGGAAATTTGTGACACAATATGAAGGGTAATATCTTTAGGATCAACCTTTCCTAACTCCTCCATCGTAAGAAGGAAGTATCACTGCATATACTGATTATTCTTGGGATACACTCCAGTGCAATTGCTAGTAAAACTTCACTCTCGAACATTGAATTAGCTGCTTTTGGTCTTACCCCTGACATGTTTGAACCTCAAGGAACAAGTGTCCCACCTAACGTAGTTCGATGTTAGCGTCACCAACAAGATCAACCACAGCATCATAATAGCGGACACAATTAATGCGGGACGTGGCACCTTACATTCTTAAAAAGTGTGTTGTAGTTTAAGTTTATTTCCATTGACTAAAGTTTGTTCTGTTTAGCCAGGCTATTGTATTTAAAGTGCACAGAGTGATTAGTCTTGCAAACTGGATCATACCTGGCACAGATTTGGTTCGGTTGTATTTTGTTTTAGAATCCCACCTCGTATCTCATGCAGTCCTTAATTGAGTCAAAATAAATCTCTACCATTCACACTATGTTCTTGGTTACTTAGTCAGCCAAATTTTCATCATAGCCATGTAATTATCTCAGTCACAGAATTACTAAATGATACTTATGGTTACATGTTGTCACATTTGGGGAGTTGAAAAACCACTTTCTGCACTTTCTTATGTATTATCACATTCACGTGAGTCAAACCCTCTCAAATCCATTGTTCGTTTCTACAGAAAATTTAGCTCCGTTTAATCTTAACAGACTAAGTGAAATTAGCCCGTAATTGTAGGGTGAGGATTATTTTGCACCCGAACACTACGCGAAGTTTAAAACATTTGCACTGAAGCCCAATTTACTGAGTTAGCACCTTTCGCAGTTTCTCACTAGTGCGTTGTAGTCTAAAATCATATGTAATACGGACTATATGTGTGCCTGAGTTAACGTCTTGGAGCTCATAGGCTAGAACTATTGTTCACAAATATAGATTGACTCACCCTTTGTCAACGATGATCAGAATTTAATTTTGGATTCTTAAAACATTAGATCAAGTTGTTGTAGCCTGTACGTCTATTAGTCTCATCTCAAGACCATCATTAGCTGCCTCTGTCAAAAAAGAGCACTCATTAAATTAAATGGTGATTCAGACAACTTGAACTATTTAAAACCTACTAAAAATCTACTCTTGTGTGCTGGAACTTGGTGCTTTCTTTTTTCAGCAGCCTCTTGAAACCTTACGTGTGGTTAGTTTCGGGCAAATAGCGTATTTATGTGTTTCGAGCCCATTCACATACAGTGTTTCATTTTAAACCCCTTAGTAAATGCATTCCAGCCTAACGACAACAAAGTAGTTGTCACATCAAATAAAATCTCCATTTCATAAATGTAATTTCGTGGGTATGTTACAAAAAAAATAAGTCCCAAAAACTATGTGAACCTTATAGATATTCTGTATACTCTTATTTACCAAGTAAAAGTGGCTTATGTACTCGGCTTTAAACTACGTTGTTCACATGAAGGTTATTGTTATTATCCAGCTGCTTAAATTGAAGTAGATGGGATAGACCTTAAACCTGAAGTCTATTGGTTGAAAGTCAGGGTTTTTGCTAGTAAGCTATCGCTCCGAATTCTGTCGCGTCTTCATCAAGTGTCAACATCTTCACCGAAATCTGTGCTGTGGAATTTTGTTTTAACTACTAATCTTATGAAATTATATTGTTTTATTTTGCTATTTAGTTTTGTATGACTTCTCTGGAGTTCATTATAACCTGGTTAATACTTTGAATTGGATATTGCAAATTAGTCGGGCTTCAGACTATTTACATCGTTTATGTTCCCCCTCAGTTATACATGCAGATATAAAACCTTCCAATATTTTAGGTTTTGATAGACTGCGTTTAGTTAAATTAGGTGATTTTGGATCATCTAGAACTACTTTGTCTGACGAAACTTCTGTTTTTGGAACTCTGTGTTATATGGCCCCAGAACTATGGACAGTTCGAAGTGGTAAGTAAATATGATTTGCTGCATTTATCACTAATAATGAATCTTACTGACTTCCCCTAATCTATGTAAATTTATTCACCATATCATTGTCTAACGCAAATACAATGTATCCTAACTGTGGTCACTCATATGGTTAACATAGAAACAGTTTATATAAAATGTAAAACTTTCCTCACCCTTATCAGTAGACTTATTGTCTTGAAAATGCAGATAAATTTCTGTAAGTCAGAAAAAGCTAATTATTAAATAAAAAGATACTAAATAAACTCACACTTGTGATAGGTGACAGAAACCAATCACAATACACTTTATTGTATATGGCGGATTTTTCGCCACCCAATGAGTAGAAGAGTTCCAGAGTTTCGGGATTTTAGTCACATTGTCTCTAACCACCCAACAAACATTTCTGGATTACTCTTTTTTACTTTAATGTGCGGTTCATCAAACGAATATATGTTTATGTAGTACTGAAAGTGACTATTTCCTCATCTAACTTATTTTTTAAACCAACATGATACACCCAGAATTAGTAAAATTATTTTTTGGTCTAATATTGTCTTGAATTTTTGTGTCACGTAAAATCATCGCTACCCTCATTTATTCTTCCTATCTAGCTCTGGTACGACCGAGGATGATAAGAGTTAGCTCTCCCTCTTCAAATGCTCTTACATGGTCACGCGTATACAGCCATTGTCAGGGAAGTCTTACTTACTGCCTTTCGCGACGGGGGTATTGTTTACGAAACTGGGGGGGGGCGAAAAGTAAATTTCCGGCCCTTTAGCCGAATTGGTGGACACGGAAGGTCCACCTAGAGGAGTTGGAAAGCCCTGATTCCAAAACAATGGTACACATGGGCTCCGGGATCCCGAGAGGACAAATGATGTATGAACCTATTGTTGGTCACCGGCTACCATGTGACTGTATCTCCTGACGCTGCTCCACCGCCTTGTGGGTCAGACCTTTAGGTCGAAGGCTCAGGATTTAGCCCCCTAAGAAAACCACCTACTTCGGTTTGGGTACTCGGGCAGCATCCCAGCCCTCACACAAATCGAGTGACTTATGTGGCGTATATGTATTCGGTACCCCTTTGTACCAATATTTGTATGTTCAAATAAATAAATAATAAATATACTCTCATTTACTCATCCTCACTTATTTTTTTCGCTTTTACCTCATCAACAAATATATCCAGGTGAAAAATTACCGTACTCAGAAAAATCTGATGTCTACAGTTTAACGGTTACATTTTGGGAATTTCTAGCTCGTGAACCCCCAAATAAAATCCTGAAAAGACGTGATGTAGCAGACAAGTTTTGGTCTTCTATTACTCAGCGACCACCTACATTAGCTGGGTGTCCTGAACTACTAAGCATTATTATTGAGAGGTAAGTCGTCCTTCTTATTCCCGGATGGGTAAACACTCACATTAATAGATTTTAGTGTGTCACGATTGACAGAATTAGTTAAAGTATGAAGTATGGGCGAGTTAGGTAATTTAGCAACAAAATATATAAGAATTATCAGACTTCACTGGGAAAAGTTAATGTGACGCCGAACAAAACAAATTACTGTGTATGGTCGCGCCGTTATATTTTCTAGTTCGAATATTGATTGGTTCGTCTGTAATCCCCTGTTGGGCTGATGACCTCTAGTTTTTTCAAATCACACAAACTAATACACAAGAACCAAGACCCAGTGTCTAATGAAATGAAGACCGAAAATAAATAGTTAGCTACTGTATTGTATTCAATCTAGACTCAAAACTCACAATAATATGCCTAAAATGACTGACTTCACAAGCAGAAAACTACGACGTATACATAGCTTAGTCATAAGTGATACAAAACCGTAGTGCTAGGGAAATAATTCATTGATGAACAATAAGACATAGCAGCGATTTATAGGTCAACGTAAAGTTCAGAAATAGGCATATATAGGAACACAAAGATCCAAACGTTCACTAAGTATACAATAAAAGTATAAGTAATAATCCTCCGTATGATAGTCCCAAAAGTTATACTTTCACACTACTCTCCCCGTTATTTCGAAAGCGAGTAGTGTTTGTCTAGATATTTTAGTTTCTAATTAAGAACGATCATGTCAATACATATGATTCAAGAACTAGTTGATGGGATGTAGTTACAAATTACTAGTAATAGTCACTGTTCTGTGATGCCGATTTAGCTATTTTTGTTCATTTAACAACTTGGCAAACTTTTGATAACTAAGGTATATTGCGCATACCTTCCACACAAGCTACCTGATTGTTGAAGCACTTGATAATAGTGTGGCTCAGAGCTGAGTTGATGAACTTTACTTGGTAAACTGTTTATAAAGCTACACTAAACCATGTTAGTGGTAATCAAAATATCGCCTAGAAAAAGGTAAGATGTTCACTGCGTTCTTAAATATTAAAGACACGACATTCAGAGAATCAATCTGCTTTCGCCGAATTCCTCGCCAAGTCGTACAGTCGTATATACATAGTGGGAGGAAAAGGATGAGAGAAGGTTCAACTCCATGCCTGCTTCTGTACGATAAGGTACATAAACAGTCAACACCAGCTTTCGGCATTAATAGGACATGTCAAAGCTTGGTCTTGCAACAACCCGAGTAAATCAATTAGGCATTTTATCCTCGGACACTTAATAAACTGTTACCACTCAACTGACTTACATATTGTTTATAGAATCCGTTCAAATCTACCAAGACTTCGTATCCAATTTTTTAAAACAGTAGATGTTCCTTCTGTTCATGGAATGAAGTCTGAACATTGTGTACAAAAAAAAGCATATCTGGTTTTTGTCTTGACCTGTTATTTACATTTAATCGGTTTTCCATTCGAAAATACAACTCATTCTCCAATTAGTCCCCATATCTATAATTTTATTCGAAATCGTTTCTGATACCACTTCACTTACTATCCCTAACACCATTAGTTGTGACAAAAACCTCCTATCTTACTTCATTCACACTATCATCCAATATGATTACGTTTGCACCCCTTTATTTGTGCTAATTCTGTGAAAGATACACACCCGCTTGTTGTTATCATTTACACTAGTATTCAAATATTCATATTACATTATCATGTTTATTCATTGTTCATGCTTCCTCATAGAGTTGAGCATCCACAAAATTGCTTTTCCGAATATCTTCACGGAGTTTTGTTTAAAATCCTTTTCGATTAATAGGATCTTCGATTAGCGTTTGAACTTTCAGCTACTACTTCATACCCTGTAAAAGTGTTAGTCATTACCTTACTCAGCTAGTAGAATCTACCTCAGTTATTCTTAAAGTAATGAACTAGAAATATTCAAGGTGTTTTAGAATAGTTGATAAATTGCTCTAATTGAAAATAACCTTTTTCATTACTTCGCTTTTCAGAGCGATAAATTAAAGTACGAAATGTTGATATAGGCACAGAAATTTGAATTGGTTTCTGCGTGGTGTATTCTTATATTGTCATATGGAGCCCGTTACATCTTTTAATTTACAGCAACATTTGCATATATACCTTAGATCCCTTTAATAATGTAATAATTGGTCAATAATGTCACCTCAAACTTGCTAAAGTATCTCTACTTATGATGCCTTTACAGAAACCTACATAAATGACGTTTTGCTCAAGCGCGTGCAATGAAAAAAGCCACCTCAGGGCTACAATTATTTGAAACATCGTTTGCTATTTATGTTTTTACTTAATATAGTTTACTCATCATGATAAGATATCGAACTAGGTTATTTCGGAACTAAGTTTTCTTATTTTTGACCCTTCTCTTTTTTCAGTGGTTGGGCTGTAAACCCCATGATTCGACCTACAATGTTCCAACTGAGCAGATGTTTGACTTCTATAATTGAACAAATATTTCCAGTAGATAGCATTATCCAAGGTGTTGATATCCCTGATGACTGTTTAAACTTTTTAAAGAAATTGTAGCATAATGCACCTTAAAAGTGTATATAGTTTGAGACAATGTTCCCTGTTTTCCTAAACTTCCAAGTACATGTGAAATAATCTTACAGCATCCGTTTGGTTAGCTGTTTATCATTCGTTGGAAGACTTTACTAACCGTACAGTTCTATTCCAATATATGTACTTTTAATATTCCGTATTGTGTAAACTATTTTTTATTCCTAACCCAAGTTGATTTTCTATACTATAAACTGGTTTAGGTCAGTTGTGTTTAGTTGAAATACAGATCAACTTACCAAGTGTTTCACCTGTAGAACCATAACAATTGCAGTTATTTTAAGTGCCGTTAGTGAATATCTCGAATTGTTTCACTAACATTTAGCTAAACGCCTTCATCCTCATAGTTTTTATTTCTCGTCCTTCATGCTTTTAAGTACTACCCACTTGGAGATTTATTTGGTTACGAATACTTACCTTCCTGGGTATATAAACTATACCGCATTTACGCTATTCCAACATGTTTCAATTAAACCTTACTAAACTTGTTTATATCTATTATCATTGTCCGATTACGAGGAAATTTATATCCTGACTAGATTTTCGCCACATTGTAAAGTTCTTGTAGTTCAGCGTGAACATACTTTTAGTCATTTAATTTGAAGATTTAATATGACGAACTAATAGTGTGTAATCAAACTGAGTTACATTATCCTAGTTTTCGACACCTTTCAGCAGGAGAGAGAACCACAAAATAAAAGAAAGCTTACTTCATTGTGAATAATTTACACTATCCCTCTCTAAAATTCGAAAACCGCCTCCTATCATTTTAACTATACTGTTCAACCTGATCCTGAAGATACTAAAACCCCAGACACTATATTTAGGAAAAATCAAATCCGTTTCTTGACTTTCAATGTGCATTCATTTGCATCGCTTTATTGAATGTGTAGTTAGTTAAATGATTTTAAGGCATTTTCATTGTATTCATAAATTTACTCCTGTTTTGTGCAAACTGATGATCACTCAATCCGATAAATTTTTGGAATGGATCACTGGATTAATTGACGTGTAACTGAGTAGACTTGGATGTGATTAGATTCTCTTGGGATACCCATCAATACATATTCCTTACAATACTACTCTACTGTCTTATCAGAAGTCTTAATGCTACAAGTTCCCATCCGAAAAACCGAGTAGGGTCTTACACAACTCACTCCTGAACATTGTAAACACTAGTTACACATATACATCATGGCACTATTGTCTCAATTATTGTATATCTAAGTGTGAACTCAATCACATCAAGTAATAGTAACACTCCTTACTTTTTCTGCTTTGATTTGAGTACATCCGCGCGATGGCAAAATTATGCTCCTCACTGACTTAACGTGTTTGGGGTCAAATCCTAACTTAACAATACCAGCAGCTTTTTGATAGAAAGCTGCAAATTTAACGTCTGGTAGTGAAATCGTTGTGTTTACCGTACACGAGAAAAGCGACAGTACTAAGTATCGCATAGATCATCATCATTAAAGATGATCTATTTCCAAGTAACGATTAAGCCTAAAAATGGTAGGCACGGCTCATTATTTAGATAAGTGAGGACTTGAAAGAAACTGTTTCTAGTCTTACAAGTGGAGACATAACTTAGCGTCTAAAACTAGGAAAGCAATTCTAAAGTAAACCTTAGTAGACTATCTCCTCCACTTGAGTGAGGCCGTAAGCCGCTTGCTCCTGGAGACATGTCGGACAATAACAACAAATCCCATTGATCATAATTTTGATAGTCAATTGGCACTCAATATGCATTTGACATTGTCACTAGTTGCAAATAATAATCGCTTAACAGCAAGTTATTAATTACTTCGTAAATCATAATGATAGAACTATGTACAGTCAAGTTCCCCTTCACTTTTTAATTTACACCTAATCTCAAGACAGCTTACACTTTCCCTTGCTGACCAAAGAAAACCATAACTACTCATACATAAGTATTTTATTTGGGATGCTTACCAGCATTGTATATCTACTTGTTAGTTCATTATATAATAACAAGCTGCACTAGGTGCTGTTCAACTGCTAAATAACTTGGTCAAGAGTTTAGTATGATGATACTAGAATCACCCGACTATAGTTTGTATATAATTGTTTCCGCCTTAATAATTTCATAAAACAAATGAAAACCACAAATAAAGGGTATTTATATTTTGGAGACAATCGAAAACGATAACTAAAGGCTTTGGCCAAACGACTAGAACTACTTACACATAACATATCCCAATAGTTTTCAGATCATTTGTGAAAATGAAAAAAACACAATATGTACAGTTTGCGAAATCACCATTTGCAAAGATTTAATTCACCTCTTTGTAACTCCGCTTTCTCGACTCACGATGTCGTTGACGTCGTTCAGCCAGGATAGCCGACAGTTCAGGATTAAATGCAGAATTAAAGGGCAAACTTCGTTCGTCTACATACACTTGTTCTTGATCTGGAGGTTTTAAAGCATCTAAACCAAAAGATTTAGCCAGTAAAACTGCTGCCCTGTCTCTTTCCTTTCGTTCTCGTCGTAGTCTTTCAGCCCGAAGACGATTAATGTCTGAACGCTTGGCCATTTCAATCAATTCTGATTTTTTATCCATACTTTCGGGATTCAGAGAAACCCCCGTGGATAAATCTTTCGTTAGCTCCCCAAATGAATTACATGAAGTTTCAGTAAGTGATTGAGTATACCTATTACCTGTTCGTCGACTTTTCGAAGCCTATAAGAAAGAAAAGTTTTACTATAGCAACATCACATAGAGTAAATAATATTACCACCACAAATATGCGCGATATTCATAATCGGACTGTATGTATGTTAAGAAATAAAGACACCATCGAAAATCTTTTTAGGGTGAATCTCATAGTTATACAAGTTTTAAATTACGCAAACATCCATTGCAATACGCGAGTAAGAAAAAATGCAATAACTATTAGTATGCACCACAAAACCAACGCGGATCGACAATGTTTGAATAAACGATATTACCACCATAAAAATATCCAGGAATTTAATCGAGGGAGGCCCAAACTTTCCGCACCAATGCATAAGAACTGTACTAAACCCCATACATCATAGAAACTTAAATGATTTGCAAATTGCATGGGTGTCTGTGGTTGTTTTGTGCTTTATTTCTGACTCATTTACTTTGAAAAATTAGTGTGATGTGCAGCAAGTATAGTATTTTCCGTAAATATTGTCGTTTCATTCACGTCGTTCCTCTAACAGCTATCGGGGTATAAGTCTACTTCCGATTGCGCCCAAACTCTTAGCTTCTGTCATACTTCGTAGGTTATTCAAAACCTGAGAATTATTGACTCGCGAGGAGTAGGTTGGTTTTCGTTCTGGTCGAGGATGTATTGATCACATCTTCACCCTCCACCAAATGTTAGAGCACCGTCATACTTATCAAAGGCCAACAATCGTAGTGTTTCTTGACATCAGGGCTGCCTTCGATTCGTTGGACAGGACTACTCTCTAGGATTGTCTATTGAAGAAGGATGTGTCTGAGAAGTTTATTAACATCTTAAAGGCCCTACATACAAACACCTCAGGCAGAGTAAGGGCACACAACCACCTCTCTCCATTGTCCCATTCAAGCAGTGGGGTTAGGCAGGGTTGCCCAATCTCACCATTCCTCATCAACTTTGCCATCGACGACATTCTGAAAACAGCTCTGATGGATGTAAGTAATGGCGGTGTGGATCTGTTGCCTGGAGAAAGACTTCTCGACCTTGAGTATGCGGATGATATTGTCTTACTGTGCGAAAATACCCAAGCCATGCAATCCGCACTTAATCAGTTGGCAATCAGTGTCCGTAAGTACGGTATGTGCTTTGCACCTTCGAACTGCAAAATACTTCTACAAGACTGGCAGGATTCTAATCCTGTACTCACCCTGGATGGTGAGCAGATAGAAGCAGTTGAGGAGTTCGTGTATCTAGGCAGCCGCATAAGTGCTGGTGGTGGCCTGACTGATGAGACCAATGCACATATAGTGAAAGCCAGAGCGGTTTATGCCAATCTGGGTCAGTCTAGTTGTAAAAGGTCGGATCTACAACGCGTCGGTGAGAGCAGTTTTGCTCTATGCTAGTGAAACCTGGCCTCTCCGATTTTGGGATGTTAGACGACTCTCTGTGTTTGATCATCGCTGTCTTCGAAGGATTGCTGACATCCAGTGTCAACGCCATGCTAGTAATGCAGGGGTTCGGCATCATGTGTTCGAGCGCAAAGACGATAATTCAATTGGTGTCACCATCTTGAAACACCGACTTTGGTGGCTTGGACATATTCTACGAATGTCGTCCCAGAGAATTCCACGTCGTGCATTATTTGCCGACTCTGGGACTGGTTGGTGTTAGCGGGCCATAGACTGGATTAAAGCATGCTCAATGCACGATTGCTTTGGTGCACGTTGATTGGCTAATTCTTATCCAATCAACACTAGTCGATACTTGGAGAATACTCTAGAATCCTCTCATGTAAAAACTATAAATGTACTAACGTTTTCCCTATTGTGCTTCTTACTTGCATCTTACTTCCATCTAACCTTGTTATTTGGAATATAATATATTTTCTGTTCAACCGTGTTCTGATTTGGGGTCTTGTCGAGTGATCTGGTGTCCAAGAATACTAAGCAATAGGTATAGCTGGGTCATATCGTAAGAAAGAGAGATTATAACAGTTCGAAAAAGAGGAGAGGTGGTCAGTGTATGACATGGTGTCGTGGTATGAAAGAAAGCTGCGAAGGGCTGGCTTTTGTTTGTCTTTCACGACTCCCTGGCTGGGGTCCTAAAGATGGTGCTACACAGCGGTTAGAGACGTTATCAGATATGGCTCAGAATGGAAGCCAGTTTCGATCCTGCTGTAACGTTCTTTTACTTTCTTCATAAAACAGTAGTTGTAACTTCCTTAACTGGAAGAATTCTTTTAGCTGTACCTTTCTGTTTCCGTCATTATTATTATTAATAGTAGTAGTATTATTATTATTACACCACCTTACACTAATCTATTCGTTATTATTCTTTTTTCTTTCTCTTCGAATTCTCATTGTTTTGTGTGGCGCATAAATATTTGGTGCCCTCTTGTACCAATGTTTATGTGTCCAAATAAATAAACAAAGTGCAGGGTCCTAGTGCTTTGCTTAACAACTATCGCAAATGATGACTTAGTTGACCAAGCGTTGAGTTTTCTACTTTATTTCGAGTCACTTTAGCTGTGTGGTTTGATATACTACTTAGCTTCTAAAACCGAAGTACCTCAAGCGATCCAGTGGTTGAGTACTTAGATTAACTGACCGCTTGCTAAAAATTACCGCTACAGAAATTTAAGTTATCAAAGTATGAAGTATACGCGAACCAGTTATCGATTTCAATACAAAGCACAGTGAGCTTCTGTAACCAACAAAACAATGCTCGTAATCGTCTTCCGTGTTTTAGATAAATACCAATGGCTAAAAGCAACTTTTTTTTCTAGTTAGCCTTTCTTCAGGATACTAACAAACTCAACAAATTCAAGATAGTCCTCAGCAACAAGTTCCAGGCCTTTCATGATCTACTCAATGGAGAAGGTACTACTGTGGAGAGCAACTGGAAGGGGATCAAAGAGGCAATCACTTCAACATGTCATGAGGTCCCGGGTCACAAAAAGCACCATCACAAGGAATGGATCACTGTTGATACACTGGATAAGATTCAAGAAAGAAGGAACAAGAAGGCAGCAATCAATACCAGCCGAACAAGAGCAGAAAAAGCCAAGGCACAAGCTGAATAAACAGAAGTAAACAAACAAGTGAAGAGGAGCATCAGAACTGACAAACGTAAATATGTGGAAGATTTAGCAACGACGGCGGAAAAGGCTGCAAGAGAAGGAAACATGAGACAACTGTATGACACGACAAAGAAACTCACTGGAAATCGCCGCAAACCAGAACGACCAGTGAAAAGCAAGGAAGGCAAGGTAATCACCAACATTGAAGAGCAACAAAACAGGTGGGTAGAACACTTCAAAGAACTGTTGAATCGACCAGCTCCACTGAACCCACCCAACATCGAAGCAGCACCCACGGACCTCCCAAGGAATGTTGGCCCACCAACAATTGAAGAAATCAGCATGGCCATCAGACAAATCAAGAGTGGCAAAGCAGCAAGACCGGACAACATCCCAGCAGAGGCACTAAAAGCAGACGTAGCGGTAACTGCAAGGATACTCCACATTCTCTTCAATAAGATTTGGGATGAGGAACAAGTACCAAAAGACTGGAAAGGACTCCTGGTCAAAATACCGAAGAAAGGCGATCTCAGCAAGTGTGATAACTACAGAGGCATCACTCTTCTCTCAATACCGGGAAAAGTCTTCAACAGAGTATTGTTAAACAGGATGAAGGACTGCGTAAACGCCCGACTTCGAGACCAACAGGCAGAATTCCGTAAGGATAGATCGTGTACAGACCAAATCGCAACTCTACGGATCATTGTGGGACAATCAATTGAATGGAATTCATCACTCTACATCAACTTCATTGACTACGAAAAGGCATTTGATAGCATGGACAGAACAACATTATGGAAACTTCTTCGACACTACAGCGTGCCTCAGAAGATAATCAATATCATACAGAACTCATATGATGGATTACACTGCAAAATCGTGCATGGGGGACAGTTGACAAAGTCGTTCGAAGTGAAGACCGGTGTTAGGCAAGGTTGCTTACTCTCACCTTTTCTCTTTCTCCTGGTGATCGACTGGATCATGAAGACGTCAACATCTGAAGGGAAGCACGGGATACAATGGACATCTAGGATGCAGTTGGATGATCTGGCATTTCTATCCCAAAAGCAACAACAAATGCAGGAGAAGACGAACAGTGTGGCAGCAGCCTCAGCAGCAGTAGGTCTCAATATACACAAAGGGAAAAGCAGGATTCTCCAATACAACACAGCATGCACCAATCCAATCACAATTGACGGAGAAGATTTGGAAGATGTAAAAACCTTTACGTATTTGGGCAGCATCATTGATGAACAGGGTGGATCTGATGCAGATGTGAAGGCGCGGATCGGCAAAGCAAGAGCAGCATATTTACAACTGAGGAACATCTGGAACTCAAAGCAACTGTCAACCAACACCAAGGTCAGGATTTTCAATACAAACGTCAAGACGGTTCTACTTTATGGGGCAGAAACCTGGAGAACTACGAAAGCCATCATCCAGAAAATACAGGTGTTTATTAACAATTGTCTACGCAAAATACTTCAGATCCATTGGCCGGACACTATTAGCAACAACATACTGTGGGAGAGAACAAATCAGATCCCAGCGGAGGAAGAAATCAGGAAGAAGCGCTGGAAGTGGATAGGACACACATTGAGGAAAGCACCCAACTGCGTCACAAGACAAGCCCTCACATGGAATCCTGAAGGCCAAAGGAAAAGAGGAAGACCAAAGAACACATTACGCCGAGAAATGGAGATAGACATGAGAAAAATGAACAAGAATTGGATGGAACTAGAAAAGAAGGCCCAGGATAGAGTGGGTTGGAGAAGGCTGGTCAGCGGCCTATGCTCCATTGGGAGTAACAGGCGTAAGTAAGTAAGTAAACGCAACTTCCTACTCTGTGATGATAGTTTCCAGTCCCTGCTGACAGCAAAACGACATCATATAAATTAACCCACCAGTTGCATAAGTATAAAACTTAGAAACAGCAAAGTAGAACTAAACCTAAACAAACCTCTCTGTATGGGCACTTTGGTACCATTATGTCATCAGGAAATAAGGTTGGCATAGCATGAATGCAAGCACTGGCACGTTGAAGTTCAGCTGCTTCGCTCTGTCTTTTTACTTCCTTATTGTGTTTGAACATCTCCTCGACCTTCTTCATTTCTGTTAATGGGTCAGCCAATGTCTTCTTCTTTATTTCCAGTTCTTCTTTGGTCCTATAGATTGATCATCAAATGCCATAGCGCTTACTTTCTTCGTTCGCTCTCACGACGCTCATAAGTTCGAGGGTGCACATCATACCACGGCTTTTCACCGGCAGCATCAAGAACAGTTTGGCCTAAATAAGTCAAAATCCCAACTGCTTTCTCTTTTCTCTCTTGTTCGATCTTCTTCTCATTTTCGTATTCTGCGTTTCCTTGTGAGACATTCAGCTTTTGGCTATCCGATTATTGCGATCCGCAACTTACGATACTATCTTTTGTTAGAGTTATCTGGAATCCATCTGATCCCGAGCTAGATGTTAGCTTATTCTTTTGTCTTCTTAAATAATCTATTCGCGCTTCCTGATCCTAAACGTATAAAGTCAATCGAAGATTTTGAGATGCCTTACAGCAAGTTGTGCTTTAATTTCAAATCTTCTTCGCTCCTCCTCATATTTTGCCTCATCTGACCTCACCCGAGCAATGTTCTCTTTTTTTAAAACATGCCATCTGTTAATCAATAACATACAAAAAACATTACCTTTTTTTTGGTAAAATATTCATTGTTTTGGAGTGAGATCCTCAAACGCGAAGTGAATTATCTTGCTACTGGATAATCCTCAGACTACTAAAAAGATACGTTAAATTACTAAGTCACATTTTCTTAAGTGATGCAAAAAATTTTCTTATGCTATACATGAGACTAATTTCACGTGAAAAAAACTTATAATCCGTACAAAATTATGGAGCCGCACACAAAATTGCATTACTTCCAGGTATTAGGTTTTGCAATAGAGTAGACTGAACACGAAAACGTATACACAATAATAAATATTTGAGAGATGTGGGTAAATTGAAGAAATGAGTATATTCATAACCAGTTTTTAATGAACTTCACCCACTTACATACTAATAACTAAGACCAACAAGTAACTTTGCAGATTATTGACCCAGCTCTCTGCGAACTTTTTAAGGTTTTTACCACGTGCTTCAATGGCCTGATATAACGTTTGTCTATCTAAACCAATGTATCAGCCTGGTAGATTGCAATTCTACGGCATGATTCCTTACGTGCCTCCAGTTTCTGGGTATTACCTCTTAGGTTAGTGTTGGAACTAAGCCTAAGTAGGTGTTCGAGAGGATGTCCAGTTTGGCAAGCAGGCAGCAGTTCTGTTTAAAGCAACTGACGACTTGAGATCAAATCACTAAGGATCTTAAGTATTTTCAGACTGAAATTGTATTATGGTTTTAAGGTAGGATGACCTGGTGAACTTTTTAACTGGAGTTGTACATGTACTCACATATTTAACTTTACCTCTACACGCGAACCAGTAACAGGACATATCGTCCAGAATAATCCATTTAAGGAGCCAATGTTTAGCTTATAAGACTTACTGAGACTTTTGAGTGAACACAAAATTTATGTACTAAGTTGTTTACTGAATGCTTGAAATTAATTAATAAGTACTTAGAGTGATATCTTTTTTGACCCATATTAGGAAGCCATAAATATTTATTTATATTTACAGGACACTGTTGTGTTTCTGGAATCGAACATGTTTTGAGCCCCCTTCCCGACGTGACCAAAAAGTAGGATGCCATAAGCGAACAGGTTATATAATGCCGTTAGGCAAACACCAACAAGCAGATCACTTAATATATAAACTTTCCACAGACATTATCAAGACGTACTACATTTAATGTGATTAGTGATGTGTTTGTATGATTACCGAACTAAATAAACATTACAAAAATCTATTCCTACCCAGTACTCCTTCAAATCAACCCAAATCTTAGTGACTGTACAACAGGCTGTAGAAGAAAGGAATCTCCCGGCACTAAATGGTTCAATATTGAGGAAAGGTTTCCTTCAAATAGTTATGTTCGGAATATTAGAGGCTTCCGCTTAACGAGGCTTCCGTGTCTAGTAGTAGTGGATCACCAATACCTCCAGGCAGGAGCCTAGGTATATTAACGACAAAAAAGAAATTGATAAATCATCCTTAAGAATATGTAAGGTTTTCTCATAAATGAGTACTGTGGAGTTGCTCGGACTAGCTCAGCCTGCAGCGAATTCCAGCATTTGACAACACTTAAGGAGTGGAAGTTGTGCCTCCAGTTTCTGGGTGTTACCTCTTAGGTTAGTGTTGGAACTAAGCTTAAGTAGGTGTTTGAGAGGATGTCCAGAAGTGTTAAGGATACTGTAAGCCATCAGGAGGTCATCTCTAAGACGTCTATACTCTAATGGATAAAGTTCTAGTGAATGGAGGCGCTCTTCGTAAGGTTTAAATTTGAGTCCTCGAACTGATTTCGTGGCTCGCCGTTGGATACGCTCCAGGGTGTCCTTATCCTTTTGAAATGAGGGGAGAAATACTATGTTTCCGTACTCTAAATGGGGACGGATAAAACTATTGAAGATTATATTAAAAGTTCTTCCGTCAAACTGACCAGAATGCGCTGCAGTGTTATCAATGCAAGGCATTTTTGTCACAGTTAGCGTAAGACTTTGAATCGTAGGGCACCAGGACTCCTAGATCTTTTGCGACTCGGGATATTACTAAAGAGGAGTTTCTCAAGTTATAACTGTAGTCTGCAACATGTCGCAGATGGACTACTTTACACTTTGAAGTGTTAAATGTGGGTTCATTATAGTCTGCCTAACTTTGAAGACGAGTCAGATCCTCCTGAAGTGCCTGTATATCGTCTTGGTTGCATATCCCTCTCCAACGTTTCACATCATCAGCAAAATGTAATACGTCTGACGACACTGTTGTGGAAGGTCATTTATATAAAACAAGAAGAGAAGAGGTCCTAGCACTGAGCCCTGGGGGACTCCACTAGGACATTCAATAGCCTGAGAGAAAGTGAAGTTAACCCTGGCCTTAAAATGTCGATTTTTCAAATATGAAGTGAGCCAATCGATTAGAGGTGGTCTGATACCCACTCGTTTGAGCTTATTGATAAGACATGTTTGATTAACCTTATCAAAAGCTTTTGAGAAATCTAGGTAGATGATATCAACCTTCCCCTTGTGATCAAGGATGCTTGTCCATATGTCCACCCTTCCTGTAACCGTGCTGTAGGGGTTAGAAGTTTATGAATGATAAATAGTCGTGTATATCGCTACATATCGGGGACTTGATGATTTTTGAAGGTATGGAGAGAAGAACCATCGGTTGGTAGCTTGGAGGTTTACTTCGTCGAACTCCTTTGAAAATTGGTATGATGCTAGCCAGCTTCCGAATTTCAGGTCATGAGCCTCGGCTTAGCGAGTGAGGGAACGTCACGCTAAGCGGTATTGCCGTGATTGAAGCTACTTTCCTCAGTGTAGCAGAATGAACAGTATCCGGACCAGGAAGAGTTCCCTGTATAGGAACTGCAGTTTCCGGAACACCAAGTCAGCGCTCAGGTTCACTCGGGAAAGTCCTGTGCAGTTACAGATTAAGCTTTCATCAGTATAGTTGATGTGGGTCGTTTGAAATGTTCGAGAGTACTGTTGAGTCAGAAGATTATCGGCATCACCATCGTTGTTCTTCGGGCCATTACGACCCAGCATCTGACAAACTCTAGTTTTGGCTTGTCTTAGAGAAGCTGGATAACGTAATAAGCTTTTCGGATTGGAGACACCTATCGATAAGCTTCATCTGGTACTGAAGTCTGTCTTCTCTTGTTGTGCATATGTCCCGTTGTAACCAGTTCGTTTACATTTCGCTCAACAGTGCCTTTTGCGGCTTATCAAATGAAGAGTGCGGTTCTTGATGATTGTAGGTTGCTTGTAGCTTTTGAGGACAGTTTGAGGAACTGACTTCCTTGTAGCACATAGGAGTGTGTTCAGTAAGTAACCCTATTGTCGGAACAATATTTCCCCTTTTGCACTCGAGTCTCGTTATTTGATTTTCGCGGCATATGTGAGTTGCGTTATTGTTCCTGATATATTCACCGATCTTGATTTGTGTGCTGTTGCTTTTAATCTCTTCTGTTTCCAAATAAACATCGACAACACGTGTTACATGTGACGATGAAGGCGTCAGCAGGAACCCATGACAAATGTGTGACGAACTGTGGTTCGAAAAAGATTAGGATGTTAGGTGAGGCAAAAAGACGGAGTATCGAGTCCAGATAACGACTAAGTTCTTGCTGATGTTGCTAGCCCGTGAGCATCTAAGTCAATTAGGGGCTATGTTTGCTAGTGCTTGATGCTTTAACAAGTTTATTTCACTGTAGCATGTGAATGCTACTATATCTTTTAAATGAACCATCATGGCTATTAATAAATATAGATTACCAGATAATAATATTGACTGAGCTAGTACGCTATGACTTCCAATCGATAATACGTCACGATAATAAACGTGAGCATTATTCAAGGAACACAGGTAAAAATCGATCGAAAAAGTTAAAGTGAAACTGAGAATTAATATACAGCTGAGTTTCTATATTCTGGCTAACCAATGTAGAATCACGGTCTAGATTCGTCTTTCGTGCCTCTAGACAAGTCTTGTTCTATTGATAGAAGAAACCAGACACAGTAAATGACGCTTTAGTTTTTTTCGAAAAAATAAATACGTACATATATAAGCAAGCATATCAGCAACGAAAAATTTTGTTTATTTTCCGAATTAAACAGTAAGTATATTTAAAGGCATATTAAAAATTGTTTGATTTGCTTTATTGACACAATACAAAAATATCGAGACAAAACGGTGTTATGTAGTGTATTGCATGCGGTAATTGTCTGTGTGTTCGAGAAACCTTACTCTTCCGCCAGGACGCATCGTTTGGAGTCGGTTGTCACATACCACCTAAGTGTCATCGTGATTGTGGATTATCAGGTGAGGTATCGTAATTTCGGGGCTCTTGTCTTTCGATTGTGTCGAAGAAGAATCGACATGATTGGGGTTTCCCTCCAAATACACGGCTTTGAGGAAATCGATACTGATTCCGTCGTTAGTTTTCTTCCTATCGATTATATAGTACTTGGGTTTACGCTGAGAAACTTTAAAGGGTCCTTCGTATGTCGTTTTGAGGAGTCGTTGCAGTGAGTTGTGACGTACAAAGACGTGTGTACCCTATCGTATGGCAGGTTGAGAGAAAATATCAGTTGACTGTGGTCTAGTGGAAACATGTTTGACTGAACGCATGATGCTTGTAAGCCATCTCGCTTAAGAAATTAGAGTCATATTCATTGAATAAGGTGAAGGATCCACGAATTCTACTAGAGGTCAAAGTGTCGTTCCATAAACGAGTTGAGCTACCGTGTATCCAATGTCAAGTTTCGTTGCATTGTAAACACCAAGTACAACAAATGGTAGAGTGTCGGTCCACTGCGAGCCTCCAACTATTCAGTAGATAAGTATTGTGAAATCATGTGTTACATGCAGCACAATACATTTCCTCCTTGACGGACAAGAAGTAGTTTGATTACCTAATATTGGTAATTACAACCGACGTTTCGAAAAGTAGACATATAAACAATAAGGCTACAAAATCTACCAGATAGTCATTAAGAAGAACACTAATAATAATGCACACAATATTTTTAGTTCTAGGAATAACACATAGTTGAACTGATTATAAAGTGAGTCATACTTTTGAAATGAACAGATTTGGGTTGGAGTGCCGTAGTGAACATCAACTCTGGGATACAAGTACATCCAGCTGACGAGCCGAAAATAGAACAAGGCGCGCGTCCTGGTTTCCACCGCAATCCAACATCGATTCTTGATTACTACTGCGTCTTTCTGTAACTTATTTTTCTAGCTGTAGATTGCCCCCAGTCACAGCAAGGCACACGATCAATTCATACTACCAACAAATACTCAATAATTATCCCGAGCTATACCAAACGTGACAGTAGAGCCGTGTATAACGTGCAATGTTACACAGTACATCACGACGTCAAGACCACCTGTATTCTCGAAAGCGCGTCCAGTAGCTCCCAAAAAAACTGGGGTTGACCATAAACGAATTCGACAACATGGTAGACTTGGGAATCATTCGGCCATCAAACAATCCATTGGCATCTCCTTCGCACATGGTCCCTAAAAAGGACTGCAACGACTGGAGTTCACTTTTTGACTATCGGAGATCGAACGCGATAACAAATCCTGACCGTTACCCATCGTCTCATATTTACATCTTGACAGCTACCCTGAAAAGTTCAACTGCTTTTTCGAAAATCGACTTGCTTAAAGCATTATTCGAATTCCCATGGCCGACAATGATATTCCTAAATCCGCTGTCATTAATCCCATCCGGTCTCTAAGGATTCCCGCGTATTGCTTTCAGCTCAAAAAATGTTGTACAATTTTAGAGAGATTCATCGATGACATTTTTCGAGGTCTCGATTTCGTACATGGATATGTTGATGACTACTTGATCATAAGCCCGGATACAAAATTTCATCTTCGCCATATGGACCTTGTCCTCGACTACAAAAGCACGTTACTACTGTAAACATTGAGAAATGTCGAATGGGCATCGACTTCCTTGATTTTCATGGACATTCTGATGGTCAAGGCATCTGACCTCTAAAAAGCAGAGTGGAACCACTCCAAATTGCGCAGAAACAACCACAACCAAGCGGCTATGCACGTTCAAGGGCCTCCTCAATTAAGGAACTTATCGCCAAAGCAAAATTGCTCGCACAACAGAACACCGAAGCACCCATTATTATCGCAGAAGGCGCATCCGACTCGGCGATCGGAAGAGTGTTAAAATAATGTGTTAACCACACCTGGTAACACTCGGCATTCTTCTCGAAACGGTTCCTAGACAGCGAATTGAGGTTTAGGACTTTCTGTTGAAGGCCGAGAATTCACAAACAACAAATGTCGCTTAACGT